ATTGTAAAGCACAATGTTCAGATAATTCCAGATTAACTTTTATTTTTGGAGTATAGCTGGACAAGCAACATAATTTATATCTGGCGAGGTTATGTTTTCCCGTGTGCTCATAGGACGACACGTTTCATACAATATGAATTGATTTTACTGTTAATAAGTCACTTATTATTATTATTAGTACTATTAGTATCGTTGTACTTAGTCAGCAAAGGTGTATTTGGATCGATGGAGCTTTGCAAAGTCACCCTCAGAAGCAGCAGCAGCAGCCTACCTCCAGATTTTCTAGTCTCTGCTTCAGCGACTGTAAAGTCTGTGATAGTTGCGCCAAAGTGTCAGCGGGGCCCCTTGATATATCCCCCATTGTGTTTTTGGTCCCAGCTTCTTTCCTCCTGCCCCCGGGCCGCGCGTCCCCAGGCTCGGCGCCGCTCTGGCTCTCACACCGAGCCAACTTTGAGGTCAGTTCTCTGATTGTCTCCTTTTGGTTCATGATCGTCTCTTTCTGCTGCAAAACCGTCTCCCGCAGCTGCATTACAGTGGTCTTCAAGTCCTCTCCTGGCACACTGTTCTGCAAGGTGGCTGCGCATATGTCCATATCCTTGGGTACGGACGTGCAAATGAACTGCGTTTGTCCGCCAAAGTCTTGAGAGGAACTCTCCAAAAACAGGCAGTAAAACAGAAAAAGTCTCCAACTGATAACGTTCTTTGTGGCCTGCATGTTGGCGTCTGTGTTGAGTTGTGATTTGTTTTGGCTGTTGAGCCGCAGTGACTTCGCGCTTGTGTCCCCTTGCTGTGCTCCGTCTGTGGAAGTGCAGCCGTTTTTATACAGCGAGCCTGGTTCTGCGCAGAGTAGGTTCACTGCATCACGACCGGAGGGGAGGGAATCGCGCTGGCCCCGTTCAAGAGATGAAATCCATTTTGCTTTCAGACTCCCACATGTTAAATCTTTCACTACGCTGGCTGTTTGTCATTTCTCGCTGTGTATTATTCATGTGGAAAACGCGGATTTGTAAGCAGTGAAAAGAGGGTTGCTTGCGTGGCAGGGTGCCAAGAGAGCCAGCTGTTTGCTTTGTTTTGCACACTAAAAAGTCGCATACAGCGCACAAAGACGCACACTGTGGGTGGATGCAGATCAGAAGTTGCGGCAATTTGTGGTCCCCGTAGTTTCAGCACCGAGGACAGCTCCGAACACATCGCATTAACCCAGCGAGCGGAGGAGCGTCTGTAGGAGCTGCAGAGTTTTCAGCTGTTGGTGCCTTTTTCTCTCTGATCCCCTGTGACTAGTTTGATTGAACGTGAAGACTGCATTTTGTTTTTCTGTCTTTGTCTTTTCTGCTTTTACAACAGACATGGTTATTTGAGAATGAGCTCGAAAGTCAGTCCTGGTTTCTCAGCCCAAACGCACAGGCTCAGCTGGTTCATAGCCCCCTCACCTTCTTCCCACAGACCTTCTCTTGCACTGGCGATCTCTGCTCTCCACATCACAGCTATAATCATCTCAGTAATTCAGTTTCTACAATGATCATCTGTCCCCAAGCAATTTACCTTATTTATTATTCAGGAAAGACAATTTTATTACTTTTTTGTTGCCTACTCTGCTGTTATTTATTCAGTCAATGTTGAAAAGAAATGAAAACACTTTGAATAAGTAATGAAAACGTATCGACTAAGGTTAAAATAGTTTTTTTTTTTTGGAAAGATGAACACAGGCAGAGGTACACGGTATGAAAGAACATAATCTGAATGTGATGAAAAGACATCAGGTAGAGGAGGCTGGATATGTCATAACACAATTATCACCTATGCCAGGTCTCTGAAGGTAAATGGTTTGTAGCTGCAGATGTCTTTTGCAGGACATATTTTAGCACCGATTACTTAAATTGTTGTCAGGAGGAAGGACCTCATTTCAACATGGCACAGAACTGATGCAGTATACTGTATTATTGCCCAAATATACAGTAATTGTTAGGTGGGAGTATACTGTATTATTGTCCAAATATACAGTAATTGTTAGGTGGGAATTGCAAGTAATTCAATGATGCATTTGAGAGCTTTAAGCTAAATCGTGCTCCCAAACGTTTCCCTGCTACAACAAATATCACCATGACAGTGTTTATCTTAGAAATGTTTTCCTCTGTTGTGTTTTATTACAACATAGCAGCGGGTATGGCTATGAAATGCAGCAGTCTTAAAGTGCAATAGGCAAAGTAAACAGTGCTGTAATATGTGACATAACTTAGCGTTTATGTATTGTTTGTTTACTGAACCCTTAACCTTTTGTGATGCGATGATATCTAAGAGAGATGAAAAAGGGAAGAGGTTTAGAGATTTTGCTCTGTGGTCTTAATCCAGAGAAGCCTGCTTCTTAATATTTTGAAACACAAAAATGAAGCTTGCAGGTGGTTCTGGCCTTTTAGTATAATGATGAAGTTGTAAGAAAAAGTAGATTTAAGGGGTGACGTAACTGCTGCATGCATCCAGGCCCTGTCAGAGCACCCAAAGAAATGGAAAGAAACTTTTCTCTCTACCATCTGGTAAATTTGTGTTTATGTAATTACTGTAATTGTGTAACCAGTGCTTTCCAATTTTTTGCAATGGGCATTCATAGCATACACCTTCCAGAAAGTAATTTGAAATAGGAAAAAGTCTTGCTCAGATAAAAGAAAAGAAAAGCCGCTGAAATGTAGTTTCAATATTTCCCTTTTGGACTGAGGTTATCTGACTAAATGTACTGTAGAATCTGTACGAAATGTTTCGACATCTTCTACCGTGTAGGACCAAGGAGCACTGCAAAATGTCCAAAGCCTAGCTCTCATTACAGATTCATTGTTTGGTGCTTCCCACACAAGCCAGTCTCAGAGCCATATGAAAACCTTTATACCTCTGTGCTCCTCGGAAACAAACTGCACCTCTTCCCATCACTTCTAGATGAAAATTAAACCCTGCTCAAGAAGACTCTCACAGTGCACTGTTGTTTTCTAGCCTTTCCAGTATCTCAAATTAACATTTTCCTCTAAATGCCACAAGCTCAGCCTGTAAGCATATTGAGTTATACTGTGATTATAAATTCAGCAGCAGTTTTTTTATGTTGTTAGCTGTGGTGTGCATGAAATAGTAATAGGGTTTGGATGAAATGATTATTTTCTGTTCAAGCCATTTTGCTAGACATAACAGCACAACAATCTGTGACATTGGAGGTACTAATGTTACACAAGCAGCTGCCAGAGGCACAGTCCTGTGTTCAGTATCAGTTCAGTTCTGTTAGATCTGTGCTGCTGGGTCGCTGTCCACCTGTTGTGGCAAACAGTATCTCCTTAATAATTCATTCAGACATGTTGAAAATGCATTCTCCAGCAGCAGAGATCAATAGTTGTAATTTCACATGCTGGCATCCTGCCTTCACTTGCTTTCTTCCCCATGACTTCTTTCCCACATTTTGGTGTGTTGTGGGTCATTAGGGGGAAAACATCCAATGTGTTTGATTTTATTTGTGTTTTATGTTTTATTTTGTGTTTAATGTATTCCATACCAAAAAGGATTGAGGGAATTTGTCGACCGACTTTAGGTCAACAAGTCCTCTGGCATAAATGACCATGTGTAGTTTGTTTGTACCCTCTGACACCTGACTCCCGAATTGGAGCCTGTGCAGTGATGCCAGGTGATGTGTCACTGCAGATCGCCAAAATTCAGTGCATCAACCCTTTAATATTGTGACTATATGTGCGCTATGGTAAAAGTTTGATTAGGGTTATGGAAAGATCATGGTTTGGGTTAAAATAAGCATTTTGTTGAGGTTACAAGACATTTGTCAACATGGTTACAATAATGTTAAAGGTTATAGAATGAACATAATTATAGTTAAAAGAAACAATATTGACTGTGGGTTGGAAATGAGAAAGGAACAGCCCTCTTGTCCGGTGTTTGGTCGATTATCCTCCCTGACCTCCACCCTATGTGGATGTTGTTGCTATAATGTGGCCTAACATCCTCGTTTGCTCTTGTTATAATTACTGTGACCACTAGAGGGTTTTCTCTACTGGCCATAAACATGTAGACTGGTGCTATCTCACATTAAATCTGTCCTTTAATAAATAAAACAAAACTCTAGGTTGTAATTAGTTGCCTGCATAAACATCCATACAGCCATTTTTTTACTTGAAGGCAGTCCCAGATGGATATCTTGTCAGGTTTGCTCAGCCGCTCTGGCCTCCCTCACCTTTCCTACTGTCTCTTGCCCATTAACACTAATCACGTTCACCTGTTCCTCACTCCCTTATCACCAGCTGCACTTGATTAGGTTGCTCACTATATTACCCGGTTTCACTCCTCAGTCACTTGCCAGTTCGTTCTAGTCTCTAGGCCATTTTTTCTCCGTGCTCTTTCGGTTTTTGTATGTATTTATCCCCTAGCCAGCTACTGTTTTGTGTTCTCCCCATGGACTGTTCCTCCGGACCGTGGCTCCACTCTC